ACCTCTTTCAACACTATTAGATTATTTAAGAGGCGGGGCCTCCGAGTTTAACGTACATCTCGTATATATTACATGTAGTATATTGGGGGCTCTCGTGGTCGAGAGGTAACCTGTTCCCGTCGTTTTATGCAAGAAAAATTCTGAAATTATGCAAACTGAGCCCAAAAATGTGAAATTGTGCGATTCTGTTAATTTTAAACAAAGAATGATAAAGAAAATAATCAGAAATTATGCCCAAAAAAAGGATCAAATTTGGCTAAATTATGCAGGGTGCATAAAACCACAGGGACAGGGGAACGGTGTACCCACTCAATAGGTCCCGGTTTCGAATCCGGAAAGCGACAGAAAATGTTCTTCTCCAAAATTAATTCCTTTCACCTCCTTTCCTCTCTCTAACAAAATTCTGTCTTCTGCTTTCGTTTCCACTTTCTGCCCCCACCCCCTCACCTCCTTTGCCCCCCTCCCCTTGGCTCCTGACTCTTTCTGCAGCCTTTCTACTTCTTCTCCTTGGCTCCTTCTTACTGCAGTTTTTCAGCCACACCCCTGATGTTATGGTAGGTAAGATCTAACACCTCGCCTTCTCGGATAAGGGCGAAAAGTTTCAGAGGTCCCGTGTGCAAGTTGCGTGCGTAAAAGATCCCTTAGTGGTCCAAAATCGACCGCCGCTCTTCCTACCGACTGCAAATGTTTGGGGTTTTTTGGGGGGGAGGGGGGTTGCAAGTGTTTCACTGCGCTAGCAACTGCATGAGGTCATAAGAGCGCGCGGAACACATTAGACTGTTTCGGTTGGTAGGAAATTTTGAATTTTGCCTGGGTGGCGGCCGAAGCCTACTCTCATCGATTTGAGACCACCAAGAGATCTTTAACGTGCGCAACTTGCACACAGGCCTTCCGAGATTTTTCGCCCTTGTCCGAGAAGGCTAAATTTAGGAGTAGATCTTTCCTACAATAAGATCAAGGGTGTGACTGAGAGACAGCAGTAAGGAGCCAAGGAGTAGCAGTGGAAAGACAGCAGGAAGAGTCAGAAGCTCAGAGGTGGGGACAAAGGATGTGAGGGGGTGAGTGACAAAAAGAGGAGACGAAAGCAGACGACAGAACAATGCTAGAGAGCAGGAAAGGAGGTGAAAGCTTAGGAGTAGGAGACAATTTTAGAGAAAATAATTTTTCGGTCGTTACCGGGATTCGAACCTGTGACCTTTGAATGAGAGGCCAACACCTTAACCTCTAGACCACGAGAGCCCCCCGCAAATGTTTAACGTGTCTTGTGCAATGACCTATTGCAGTCGCGAGCACACAAATATATAGTTATATAGTAATTTATTATAGTAATATTTACAGTTA